AAGGAAAGTGTTTATTTGGTACGAGTTATGAGAATTGAGACAGTCTCTCAGTTCCAACTTAGCCTTGTTATCTACGAGTGCTTTTAAACGACTCGAAGATGTTTCTACTACATTGGTACGTTCTAAGCATGAGAGTAGGGGTGGAAATCTTGATTTTGAGCACAAGTATAATGCAAGATGAGACATAATTCACCAAACAGTAAAATAGTTGCTGGCAGCTTTGGCGTATAAGAACCCAAATTAGAAATCTTGTATATTTAAGAGTTTTTTTAATAATAGCACTAAAAATTTGTATCCATATCATTTGATGTTCAGATAGTTGACATTCTAGGTATTGCTTAAAGCATTATTTACCCTCTTAGAGATCTCCTCTACTAAAATTCCTAATTAGCAGTGCATTTACGGAATAATATTAAAAAAGGTGATTAAGAAAGGATAAAATCGAAATAATGTGTACTTAGATTACCTAGAGGGCGGCAATAGTAGATGGCTGGGCACATGGTCTGAAATAGAAAATAATGTGGAAGTATAATAATATGTTAACCATGTAAGGAATGGGAGATTTCAAGAAAGTATCGATCTATAAGTATCAAATTGATGACATCCCATACATTTTATAAATATCAAGCAAAATTTTAACAGCCTAAAATCTAATGAAGTTATCTTAACTGTGTATAAATAAATTAAAGCTGCCTATAGTCCGAATAGAATGCAAATTGAACTAAAAATTAAGGTTGATCGGATAAAAATGAAGCGTAATTTGTGTATTAAGAAATATGGATTCGAGGAAGTATTCGAAAAATGTGATGATACAAAAGAATAAAAAATGAAATAGTATTAGCAGAATGAGGGATTAAGCAGACCAAATACTGGTTTAAACTCGTTTTCGCAAATCAGTTGTATTTGCAGTGAGACTCGGTTAAATAAAGATAAGTTAAGGAATGAGGGTGAAGTCTTGTGGGATAGCAACTGTACTTGAAGATGTGGAAGGAAAATGTCACAACCATTCAAGAGGACTGTCTTAACTTGTTAATCTGATAAGTAAAGGATGATGCAACTCGCTGATGATGCCGATCATAATTGTCGTGAAAGGCTTGTGAAAGTACTCAGGATACTGAGAAAAATGTGGAATAACAATGGCAAAAGAAGCAGTACAAGTGAGTCTTTAGCAGTCTCGAAAACGGAATCAGACCAACTGTTTACAATAAAAGGTCACACTACCTTCATAATTATAGCTATGTGCTTGATTATGCCAATAAATTAGTATGAGAATTTTGGACATCGAAGTTATACCAGATAGTCAATAGTTCTGAGGAGAATCAAGTTTCAAAAAAGGAAAACAGATCCTAATATATGAAAATAATATACTAACTAAATGTCAGAATGTGTGAAACGAATTGATGAATCATAACGAGAGGACAGGGGGAGATGTAATTATAGCACTAAGGAAAATAAATATACGTTAAGCAAGAGTCCAAACCAACCGGATGGGATAGGGTGCTTGCTAAATGAAGTGGACGACTTCCTTGCTGGAGGTGGAGGTGGCGGGGGTGGTGGAGAGAACATCTGTGATTGTGGCAGTTGTGGTGGTGGAGGAGGCGATGGTGATAGCGACAAGGAGGCTGTGCGCCTCGCTACGTGCTTTTCCGATGGCAGGAACGATAAGGAGATTGAAGGTGATGAGTTGGCCGTACACGTCCCTCGGGCTTGACCGCAATGTGGACTGGGTGAATCGGTCGCCACGATGGCTGGTGGTCGACTAGCAACGTCCACTGAAGACAGCTCGGTAACCACACCCAAGACAAGTGAGTGGCCAACACCGTTTGCAGTCTCCTGGTCTATTTTGTCTCTTCCCTCAGGAAATTCACTAGGAGGATCTTGAAAAGCGATCGGAGGTGGAGGTAGAGGCGGAGAAGCCTCATCGGAACTGAATGCTGCATAATAAGGATCAAAAGTTCTTCATTTTATCTTCTGAATCTCACATTTAGGATAGTGTGTAGTTATAAATTAAATTTCTTAGACGATTTGAGATATGAAAATTTATCGTACTCAGACAATCTTTCAA